GTAAAAACCACTATAAGCTCCCCCCGGGCCTCTTTACCAGTTCTCGTTGAGGGCGTCCATTCATACACACACAGGTATTATTTTTACATCTTGAAAAATATGGCTTCTCTACTGATAGATCTTCAATTTTATAATGAAATGAACTGAAAAATAGGGTTTTAATTTTGTTTTAAGAGCCAGCCTTTCAGATTCTATGTTTCTTCCATAAAGTAAAATATAAATAAGCATGTTGGGGAAAATGTACCATTGTGCAGAAAGTAGACCAGCTAGAAGGTCTCTTTCTAGTTACTTGACCTCCTGGGATAAAAATACAAAAATCTTTCAGGGATGTTAGCTCCTTACATCCCCGGTCTGGAAGCAGTTTGAGGGCAGGGATGACTTGCTGTGCCGAGCATTTCATTATAGGTGCAAAACAAATAGTTGGTGCTCAGAAAACTTTGCAACAGTAATTCTCCATGATGAATGAGGGGCTCCATTACCGTGAAAAAGGATTACTGTTTTGAAAAGCAAATATTTGTACCTAGTACAAAATTGGGAAAGCTCAAAGGAGATGGGAAAGTAACTTGTTTTTTAATGTGTACAAAATTTTGTTCCCTTTAAATTTTACCATGTGCAAGAATTACCTATCTAAAAATAAGAATGGAATGACCAGGTCAAAACATGTACATATTAAAATTTCATGGGTGTCTAACTTGTCTGAGGAGGTTGCACTAATTCATGAGCCCAGCAGCAATGCTGGTGGGTGCCTGTTTCCCGCCCCTAACATTGGCCAACACTATTGTCTAATCACTTCATAACACATCTGTTCCATCCTATTTAAAAAGTATTGATAATAATGAGCAGTCCCCTCCCATCCCGCCCTATTTAAATTGCATGCTTCTCTCTTTGGCTTTATTCCAGGACAAACTGGCGCAGGGAACAACTGGGCGAAGGGGCACTACACAGAAGGAGCCGAGCTGGTGGACTCGGTGCTGGACGTGGTGAGGAAGGAGTGTGAGCACTGTGACTGCCTGCAGGGCTTCCAGCTCACCCACTCCCTCGGGGGAGGAACGGGGTCGGGCATGGGCACTCTGCTCATCAGCAAAATCCGAGAGGAGTATCCCGACAGGATCATGAACACCTTCAGTGTCATGCCCTCCCCCAAGGTCTCCGACACTGTGGTGGAGCCCTACAACGCCACCCTGTCAGTCCACCAGCTGGTGGAGAACACAGATGAAACCTACTGCATCGACAACGAGGCCCTGTACGACATCTGCTTCCGCACCCTGAAGCTCACCACGCCAACCTATGGGGACCTAAACCACCTGGTGTCCGCCACCATGAGTGGGGTCACCACCTCTCTGCGCTTCCCGGGCCAGCTCAACGCCGACCTCCGCAAGCTCGCAGTGAACATGGTCCCTTTCCCCCGCCTCCACTTCTTCATGCCTGGCTTTGCTCCCCTGACAGCCCGAGGCAGTCAGCAGTACCGGGCCCTCACGGTGCCAGAACTGACTCAGCAAATGTTCGATGCCAAGAACATGATGGCGGCCTGTGATCCGAGACACGGGCGCTACCTGACCGTGGCCACTGTCTTCCGGGGCCCCATGTCTATGAAGGAGGTGGACGAGCAGATGCTGGCCATCCAGAACAAGAACAGCAGCTACTTTGTGGAGTGGATCCCCAACAACGTCAAAGTGGCCGTGTGTGACATCCCTCCTCGGGGCCTCAAGATGGCCTCCACCTTCATTGGCAACAGCACGGCCATCCAGGAGCTGTTCAAGCGCATCTCGGAGCAGTTTTCTGCCATGTTCCGCCGGAAGGCCTTCCTGCACTGGTTTACAGGGGAGGGCATGGATGAGATGGAGTTCACAGAAGCAGAGAGCAACATGAACGACCTGGTGTCAGAATACCAGCAGTATCAAGAAGCTACGGCCAATGATGGTGAAGAAGCTTTTGAGGACGACGAAGAGGAGATCAATGAATAGAGGAGCCCCCTGTCTCAGATACCGCAATGCAGACCATCTTTAACTCCGGTGCCACCAATGGTGCCCTGGTCCAAATATGTGGGTGTAGGCCCCTGGGAAATGCAGCAACATTGTACTGTCAGTCATATGGAACAAAGTACAGTAAGATAGCAGAGAAGCGGCAGTGCTGCCCGATCTGAACATCAGCCTACAGGGATTTTCTGCTGGAGGACTTGAAAGAACTAATGGGCCAGAAATAAAGAGCTAAAGAAATAAACCTCACCTTCTATTGTTTTCAACTATGTCTGAGAATTAGCAGGGAAGTTCACACATAGTGTTTTTTCATCCTTTGTGAGGAAGCCTGAAGCTGTGCGGTGCTGCCTTATACTGAGTATGCAATTACTGAACTTTGAAACAGTCTATTCATAATAAAACACTGAAACTGCTCCTTTGTCTCTTACAGCCTCTGTTACGTGATAGATTTGTGACTTTGCATTTTTACAGTGGTTATTTGGGTCTCTTCTCTTCCTGAGTGGACTGCCCCAGCAGCTCACTAAAAGAACTCAGAGGCTGGGGCTTGTCTTCAGTTGGAGGCTTTAGGGTGGTCCCATAGCCAGAATTCTGAGCGTGAAAGCAGTGCACACGTAAGGAAAAGCCCGTGGTCCCCATTTGCAACCAGCACTCAGACACCCCGTAGAATCTTTCATCCCCATGTCGTGTCCTGGGCTGCTTGGTCCCAGCCTTCCCTAACAACTGTCCTGACATTTGCCAGAGGAGCCACAGAAAACGACCTTCAGGCTTCCATGAAGCTCTTGGCGGGTGAGGGAGACCCAACAGCGTCGGCTCTGAGCTACCGTGCTTCCTTCATGAGCACTGGGACTGGGAGCCCGGGGCCAGTGGCCAGGCCCAGCACGGAGGAAGAGGGCCCTTTTCTATGTCCTCTGTATGGTTCCATAGCTAGTCACAACTTCTGTAAGAGTTCTTGTAAAGTCAAGCCCCACAGGACGTGACCAGGCTCCTTTCACTAGTAATTGGCAGACACTGCTGTTCACCAGTGTTGCAGGCTTCTTTCTCCTCCCTGCCCTCTTGAAGTTAGCTGTGAACGTGTCACTTAGCTTTAGCCAAAAGAATGTGAGTGGTGTGTCACTTCCAGGTGGAAGTGTTTAAATGCTAGTGCTAGACTCTGTTCTGCCTCCCTCTCGTGGGGACCCTGATGCCTGTCAAGGTGACCCAGCGTCTCCATCAGTCTAGGTCCTTGAGTAACTGCTGAGTAGAGCCCCCCGACCCCCCACCCCTGACCTCTGTCAGATAAGGAGTGAGAGAGAATCCAACCTCTGGTTTGGAGCCACTGAGATCTAGGGTTCCTGCACAGTGTAACCCAGCCCACCTGACGGCACCCGTGCTCTGATGCCATGGCTCACATCCAGTGACTGCATTCTGTGCTGTCTCAGCCTTGGACATACAGAAAGTGAGTCACTAAACACGGCAGCATGACTTGCACTGAGCTAAGCAGCAACCTCATTTTTGCAGAAACCTGAGCTGTTGTGTGAGACTATGGTAAAAATGACTCTTACCATCTACATCTAAGCTAGTAAGTTGCTAGGTTTAATGGCCCTTGGAAGAGACAGGACAAGTGCCGTAAGCACCTGCTGTGGGCCAGGCTCTGTTAAGGCCCCACAGGGCTCACCAGTACTCCGGAGTGTGGCTCTTACTGTCCCTGCACAGACGAGGCGGCGTGCTGAGGGCGGCGGGAGCCATTCCAGGCCATCCTGGCCGGCTGTCTAAAACTCCAGGGCTTGAGTGTACTTACCTCATTAGAATGCAGGGGGAGATGTGGCTTACCATCTGACCGACAGTCTCACGCACAGCTTTGTCCCTTTTCTCACTGACTCAAATGTGACTCACGTTTGGCACGACCCACTTTATTCCCCCCAGGAGGCCTCGCTGGAATAGCACATGCTGGCACCTCCCCCTGCAGTGGTGTGGAGCATAGAGCGTCTCCTCAGGGTCTGCTGCTTGTGTGGAGAGTAGCACTTATCACCCCGATGGCCAAGTGGGTCCTACAGCCTTAATTCTTCGGTCAGCCGCCTCCCACACACATCCTGCGAGGAAAGGAGGCGGTAAACGTGTTCCTTCTGCAGGGCCCTGGGCAGAGGCGCTGAGAAGGCTCTCATGCTCCTGTGATGCTGAGTTAGTGGAGTCCAAACAGCTGCTTCTGTGGCCCGGAGAGCTGGAGTTTGGCATCTCTGGCCTGCCAGAAAGAGTGGTCCTGGGATGGAATGGCCTGCCTAGGCCATCTCCCACTCCACAGGACCAGTGCTGCCCCACAGATGCCACCTGATTCTGCTTTAAGTGAGAAATCACTGTTTCCACAACATACTTAAATACATCAAGAATGGTCAAGGGAAGCCAGAATAACATAAAAGGAGGCTGCCAAAAAATATTAAAAATACAAAAATGTTTGGTGCTTGCAAGTCCAGATAGCGGCATTCGAAGACTTAGTACATCTTCCTCGTGCCATCTTTTGGTTAAAACTGTTGGCCTAAGTTTGCTACACTGCAGACTTCGGCATTTCTGGAACCACACGCACTACATAACTTTTCTAATAGTAACAGTAACAGGTTACGATTCAGACACGTCCTGGGAAATCTAGGCTGCAGGGACCTCCCTAACTTAGTGTCAGTTCCCTTCTTGGAAATCCAGGGGATGGCTTAGGACAGCCTGCCAGGCCCACCAAGGTTACATATCAACTTCCAGACGCAGACGGTATGACCAACATCTGGTCATGACCGGCCTAGTGAGGGTGTAAACTGATGCCATTATCACAGATTCTCGCACTGACTGACTTGGTATCAAGACACTTCATATCCGGAGTTCATCATTCCAGGACATACAAATCTAGAAGTTACCAAGCCTCTTGTGAGAACCAACAAGACTGAGATTTTGAAAAATTTCTCTCTAAAAAGTAAGAACGTTTAATTCCTTTCCATTATGTTTTCTAAAAGAAAGTACCTCAAGCATAAACAGTGACCTTTTGTGTGTTCAGAAGAAAAAAAGTATAGTGTTTATACTTTATTTTTGATTTAAAGCCATATTTACATAATACATTCATATTTTTAAATATGTTACAGCTCTCTGTAGAAAACCATTCCATTAAAACAGCAACATGTGATCTGGATTTAATCTTCAAAATATTAAGTCAAATGAAAATACTCTTATCAGGACTCCAGTTTAATTTCACAGCTCATCCGCAGAGGGAAACTCTGAAGGGAAAGAGGCATGAAGAGCGGGTGATGGAAAGAGAACAATACACCTCTTGCACACTGGCAAGTGTTCACAGATCATCCCTGACACACGTCAGCTGGCTCCACTGATGCTGGACGGGGAGCGGCACGGGGTGCCAGTCCGCACTCTCCCAGTCACTGTCAGAGAGCCCGACCAGGCGGGGGCACATGTTCTCCCCGGGGCCAGTCACCCTGCCACCCCTACCCCGACTTCTGAGGCTGAGGATTAAGTACTCCTCTTTCCACCATTTCCACTGGGTCAGCAGCTGGTTAAGATCAACTCAGCAGTGTTCTCATTCTTCTGAGAAAGCTAGAGTTGAGATAATGTGCAAACTGAAATCACTACATGACAAGCTAAAACGGCCTTCCTCCGCGGATCTGGTTGGCCATTTTCTCTTCTGGGGTCTCCTCCTTCTCCTTTTCCCGCTCTTTGTTCCAGTCCTTAAGGCCCTCTGGGAGCGAGGTGTCCTCATCCAAGCTGCCAGTGCCTTCCACAAATTCCTCATAGGTGGATTTTTCCGCAAATGGTCTGGGGCCCAAAAGTTCAACCATGTCATTCTTATCTAATACTTCTTTTTCTAATAATAGAAGAGCAACCTGAAATATGAACAAGTGCCGTTAAACACAGTTACTCAGCAAAGTCTATTCAAAGCTAGTAATGTTTGTATTTATAGGCAATCCCATTCCAAAAAAAAGACTGGAGACCACTGGAAAAAAGTATGCATAAGGTCACATAATTTTAGAGTAAGATGTGCAAAATACTGGAAAAACAAATGTCCACCCAATAACGGAGTAGCTAAAAACATTTTGGTACATCCACTCAATGAACGACTGTGTATCTGTTAGAATCTCTCTGTTCTCTATACATCTCGGAGAGAGAGTGTCAACAAGAAAAGCGAGATGCACAATATATATAGTATGCTGTATTTTTTTTTTAAAGATTTTATTTATTTCCTTTTTCTCCCCAAAGCCCCCTTGTACAGTTGTATATTCTTAGTTGTGGGTCCTTCTAGTTGTGGCATGTGGGATGCCGCCTCAGCATGGCCCGATGAGCGGTGCCATGTCCGCGCCCAGGATTCAAACCGGCGAAACCCTGGGCCGCCGAAGCAGAGTGTACGAACTTAACCACTAGGCCACAGGGCCAGCCTCTGCCTTTGCTTTTTAAAAGGGGGAGAAGTGTATCTTTTTATGTGCTTATAAATACATAAAGAAATTCAGGAAGGATACACAAGAAAGTAATAAAAGTGGTAGTGGGGTGGAACTGGAGAAAAGATGGAAATAGGGTGAACAGGAAATTTAAAAAGTTCATCAAAAAAAATAAAGACAAATAAGGCAGAGATACAAAATGAAGCCAGGAAGGTTAATATAAAAATATGTATCTTGAAGCTCCAGTCATTTCTATGGTTGAACCACAAATTTGACACTACACATTTCAACAGGCTGCCAGAAAAGGGACGCCGGACCAACCATGTCTGTGGAGGTGAGCGATGGGGTCAGGAGGCAGGGAAGAGCGGTTACGCTAGAGTGTCTGACCATCACAAAGAAAACAAAGCAGGTTATACTGTAAACTGACCTCATAAAAGAGATTAGTTCCTGAGGTAACTCCCTACTTAGAAATTTAACATATCTGTACTTCACATTAAATGCTATGTTTTTGAAGATACCAAGTAATAAGACAATTTTCTTGTCTTTTCAATTTTTAAAAACTTTATGCAATATTTCAAATATGTACCAAAAAAATGTAGAAAGAATGGATAACTAACACCCATGTAGCCACTATCAATAATTATCAACTTAGAGCCATTTCTGTTTCATCTACTCCTTGGATTATTTTAAAGAAAATCCCAGATGTCATATCATTTTGTCCATATATATTTTTGTCTATATCTCTAAGATATAAAAACTCTTTAAAACCATAACCAGAAGACTAAAATGCTGTGATTATTTACTATATTGCTTGTGGGCATAAGATCTAGAGAAATCAAAGGTTAGGATTTCTTCTTAGGCCACCTGTAATTCTCAACTTGCCTATTTACACAGTTGTGGGTAACCACTTAAGTTGGGATATTTTATTTAACCAAATATATCAAAATTATCATGTCAACATGTAATGATACAATTATTGAGATATTCTACATTCTTTTTTTCACACGAAATCTTCAAAACCCTGTGTGCTCACAGCACATCTCCGCTGGGACTGGCCACATTCCACAGCTCAGGCCTGGTTTGAGGTTAATGGCAAGGGCTTTGCAGACAGGACCTCTGGGTCCAGTCCTGGTCCTGCCACTTACCCACTGCATGACCTTAAGCGAAGTTACTTAACCTCTTTATGCATTAGTTTTTTCATCTGTAAAATGAGGGCAATAATGTAGTGACCTCATGAGGTTGCAGGGGTTTTTTAATACATCCTAGGTAGTTCCTGGTAAACATAAGATGTAGGATGAATGCTAGCTGGTTACTCTTATTCTCCTAAAGCATGGCCCTCAGAAATCAACTTGTCCGACTCCTTGTCCCATAGATGAATTAAACTGAGGCCTAGAGTTTGGAAGGCACTAGTCTCAGTAGCAAAGGCTCAGCCACCTCTCCTCTTGATGACTCCCTTCTCCTGGCTGGCTCAACATTATTACTTTTTTTGGTGAGGAAGACTGTCGCTGAGCTAACACCTGTGCCAGTCTTCCTCTATTTTATATGTGGGATACCGCCACAGCATGGCTTGATGAGCAGTGTGTAAGCCCATGCCCGGGATCCGACACGGAAGCGGAGTGTGAGAACTTAACCACTATGCCACCAGGCCGGACCCATAACATTATTAACTGATTTTTCTCTAATGGACCAGAAAGTACTTCAGAACTCTGCAGTGGTTCAAGATCCTCACTCTGTTGAACCAGTTGTCCTTTCACAAACATTCTTTTGTTACCATTGTCAGTACGTGCGCTGTACATTTGGAAGGGTAGATAACTGGGTGAAATTCCTGGACACATTTGGCATCCTTCCTCTTGAACCTGTGTACACACATGCTGTCCTCTCAGAGTAGTAATCTCCAATGAGCTCTTACGCCCTCCACTGTCTTTACAAGTTTACTTCCTTCTTTTGAGCAATTGGCTATGGGGGGATCACCACCAGATCCCATCTCTGGTCTAGACCTCCTATCCATACTCCATTTAAATACCTACTGCTCAGTGCTCTTGGGTGTCAAGACTGAACCTCTCCTCCCGTCCCCAGCCTGTGCCTGCCACTAGGAGGAGTCTTGGAGTCATCCCAAGGGCATTCTCCTTTATTCTTTTTTTTTTTTTTTTTTTTTTTAAAGATTTTATTTTTTCCTTTTTCTCCCCAAAGCCCCCTGGTACATAGTTGTATATTCTTTGTTGTGGGTCCTTCTAGTTGTGGCATGTGGGACGCCGCCTCAGCGTGGTTTGATGAGCAGTGCCATGTCCGCGCCCAGGATTCGAACCAACGAAACACTGGGCCGCCTGCAGCGGAGCGCGCGAACTTAACCACTCGGCCACGGGGCCAGCCCCCATTCTCCTTCATTCTTTACATTTAATCAATGAATCTTTTTTTTTTAGATCTGCCTTTGCCTTTCTACTTCTGCTGCCACTACGGCACCATCTCAGGAATATTAAAACAACCTCTGAGCTGGTCTCTATTCTAGTCTCTCCCATCCCAATCAAGCTGGCACACTGCTGCCACACTCTCCTTTTAAATGATGAACTTTTAATCATCTCCACTCCCGATTCTTTAAGGATTCCCCACTATAAAACAAGGGGACTGGACCAGATCATTTTGAAGTCCACTTCTATTTGTAAAATTGTGTTTTCCAGATTCTCTACCTAGCTTTGGAGGCCTTGGGTACTCTAGTCCCCTTCCCTCCACTATGTGCTCCACGGCAGGCAGGCTCAATCCTGCCCCCTCCCCACACATTGCTCTGCTCACCAGGCCTCCAAGCTGAGCTCCTCCTCTCCTCTCCTTTCCTTGTTCACTGTAACCTGACTATCCTTTAAGGTAAAATTTAAGCCCTATGTAAAGCCTTCTCTGACCACTCTGATGTTTCCGTTCTCGGAGCTCCTGCTGTAAGCCTTCCAGCGTTTCACGGACACTAGCTCTCTCTCTCCACTTGTCCTGCACGCTTTTGTGAAAAGACATCATGGATTCTTTTGGAATTGCCTAGCACAGGACAAGCTCACAGTGGGGCTCCCTGAAGATTTGCTGGTTGAATGGTACATCTTAGAATGTGCTTTCATCTGTGTCAATACCTTATAAAAGGCTTTTCATTTATGTTTTTTTCATTAGAGTGTGGAATATTTAAAAACAAAAAATTTTAATTTTGGTTGCATGGATTCTGAATAATTAAGAGTGTACTGGATGTTGGGGCCGGCCTGGTGGCTGAGTGGTTAAGTTCGCACGTTCCGTTTCAGCGGTCCAGGGTTTCGCTGGTTCAGATCCTGGGCACGGACATGGCACTGCTCATCAAGCCATGCTGAGGCGGCATCCCACATGCCACAACTAGAAGGACCCACAACTGAAAATATATACAACTATGTACTGGGGGCCTTTGGGGAGAAAAAGGAAAAATAAAATCTTTAAAGAAAAAGAAAAGAGTGTACTAGATGCAAGAAATCGACTGAACTCAGAAAAGATCCCTCCCTTTTGTAGATGCTATCAAATGAGGTACAACAATGGGAAACACAAAACATGTTTGTTCATGGAAGCTCATAATTAAGCCAAAGGTAGTTTTCATGTGTCAATTCCTACTTTCATGTGTCAATGTGCCCTTTCACTACCTGTTTATTTTGGAGGTGAAGAACAATGGTAAATCCCAATCTGTCCATCGCGCTCCATATTTAGGAGTACAGGTAAAATATTCAGTGGGGGGAGTGCAAATTCAATTGTTTATTTGGTAATTATTAATAGTCTTCATTAATCCCCCACTCATATTCCTAAGAGCTGTAAGAGCTGGGATCACGCTATAAGAGCTGGGATCATGCCCGCTTTCGCTCAGCACTATATTTGCACCGCCTCAAAGAGAGCAGACACAAACCAGAATGAATGAAAGAACCCAGGAGTTAGCCAGATACGGGGAATACCGACGTCTATAAACCAGGCAAAACAGTCAATCCATCACTTTAATCTTTTTTTCAAAACTGTGTAGAGAACTATTCCTACAACTTGCACCTACCTTCTCCACATCAGCTTTCTTTTCTGTGAGAAGAGCTACTGTTCTTTTATAAGCATCATTAATAAGTATTCGCACTTCATCATCTATCAGTCTTGCAGTGGCTTCACTGTAAGGTTTCTCCAATACCATGTCCCCCTGACGTGGGAGGTCAAAGGAGATTTGCCCAACCTTTTCATTCATGCCAAACTGAACAATCTGAAAAAGAATACATAATCAGTGGTAGGCATCCATTTTTGCTTACAAGGCTACCATATTTTTATAAAATGGGAACAAGTCTTTACAATGACATTAAATCCACACACTTCACTGTAACACTACTCTTTAACCTGCAAAATCTACATGGTGGCCTTGAGTTGGTTAAGTAGACAAGGGTGTTCTGTGTAGACAATGGATAGTGTTTTAAACTCCTCAACGAGGAACACAAGAACAGAAAGCCACAGACATCGACAACAAAATTAGGTCACAAACAGGTGGGGGCAAAGCCCAATAGCTACAAGACTCTCTGCATGAATGGAAGTAGAGGAGAAGCAAGAAGCATCTAATAGACCCAAGAGAATAAGAACCCCAAACTGCCAAGAGGCTCTTGCTAGAAAGAGTGGTGTGCCAACCTGGGAACAACTGAACACAGAAGGGGCATTTGCATTTTCCCGTTCCCTGAGTCCAAGCCCCACATTATGAAGAAGCTTCTGGAAGTAAAATCCAAACTGGTTAGAAAAGAGAAGGAGCAGATAAAAGCAGAGAGGAAGAACAGAGCAGGAGAGCTCAGAAAGTAGGAAGCTATGTTTTTAAAAAGTTCACAAAATTAACAGAAAAGAGAACTCTAAAACCATAAAAACAAAATAACTATCCTAATCCACCTCCCTCCTAAGAGATCAGGAAAACAAATTTCATGTAAAAATGGGCAGAAAACCCTTTATAAAGTTGTTATGTGAAAAAAGTAAGGAGCAGAATAGTGTCTCCACAGATAAGAAAAGTGGGATGGGAAGATAGTCCATAAAACAGATGAAAACTGTAAACCACAACTTCAAAAAAGGCTAAGAGAACTCAGGAAAGTGAAAGGAAAGTATGAAAGAATAACATAAATCAGAATCAGAAAAAGTTAGACGAGGTGGAAGAACACAGGAAAAAGATAAAGGAAAAAAAGTATTTTAAAAATGAAGATTAAACTAGAAAGAACAAGAGAAAACAACCACAACAAATAATGCCCTAGGAAAAAGAAAGGTAAAGAGGACAAGTAAATTAAAAAAAAAAATTCTTTTAAATGAGTCATTAAAAAGGATTTGAGAAAGTAACAGACCCAGAAGGATGCTGACATATGAATAACAGGAGTTCCCAAAGAAAGTCACTGATATCAAGTTCCAAGACAGCAAAACTATATTGTTTGGGGATGTGTGCACCAGGGACAAACTTAAAGAAAACAGGGGAATGATCATAAGCAAAGTTAGGGGAGGGGACTGAGAAGGGACAGGACCTGGGAGAGTCCAGGTGTGGGCTGCACTCCACCGTGGGGCCATGGAGGTTTGTAACTGAACTTTAAACTCTCTCTCTATGCTTTATATACTCTTAGTAAGAAACTTTAAATACTATACTATGAAAAAAAAGGTTTCTTTTCATAAGTTGACTGTTTCAGATTTCGTTTAAGAAATAATCCTTGCCTGAAAAGCCTAAACCACAAACACAACAGTATTGTTTCAGAGCCATTCACGAATGTCCATTTCTCGTGCAAATGTGAGAAAACAAGGAACACACACTCCATTTCATTCACTTACTTGGGCATAGGCACTCTGAGTTACTTTCCTCAAGTCATCTTGAGCACCAGTTGTAATTCTTCCAAAGAAGATTTCTTCGGCTACCCGGCCCCCCAGAGTCATGCACATCCTGTCCAAGAGCTGCTCTCTGGTGTACAGGTATTGTTCTTTGGGTAAATACTGAGCATAACCCAGTCCTTTGCCCCGAGGGATGATGGAGACCTGGCAAGCAGAAAACATAAAATGTTGAGGATTCCATCTCCAAATGTAGATTTCATCACAACATTTATCTGTGGACAGATAAACTCACGGATGGAAAACAAGCACAATAGCTGGGCAGTGCGCCGGCCCTGGCAACAGGAGAGCGAGCAGGAGTGACTATCACGTGTATCTTCTCTTAAGGTAACTTCACCTTAGAGTTCTAGAATGTATTTCCTGTCTTTTTATAAAACTCAATTGACATTATTCAGTCTTGACAAAAGGACCACTGGTGAGTGACGACCCCTCATGGCAGCTCAAAAACAGCGCAGGCTTCATTAAACCCGATGGTTAGCCGCAGCCATCTCTCCTTTACAGGACAAAGTGGAAGACAGACCAAGACGCTCAGCAGCCTTCATTTTCTTTTATAGTCCTCTTTTCGCAATTGAGTAAATTCCTTTAATTTTTAAAGAACCCACTTTATTGGGGGATGATTTATAGACAATGTACCCATTTTAAATGTACAGTTCAATGGGCCTTGACAAACATAACCTCCTACCATAATGAAAATACAAAATATTCTCTTTATCCCCAAGAAGTCCCCTTCTACTCCTTTTAGTCAATCTTTCTCCCTACCACCAGCCCTAGGCAACTGCAGACATGCTTTCCGTCCCTGTGGGTTAGTTACAATTTCTAGAATTGCATATAAATGGAATCATACAGTATGTACTTTATGACGTCTGGTTTCTTTCCCTGTTTCTGAGATTCACCCACACTGCTGTGTATTAATAGTTCATTCACTTTTACTGCTATGTAGCATTCCATTGTATAAACACACCAAACAGCCATTTCATTCTCGAGGGACATTAGGGTGGTTTCCAGTTTAGTGCTATTACAAATAAAGAAGTAAACATCTTTGTGTGGACGTTACGTTTTCATTTCTCTTGGGTGAATATCTAGGAGTGGGACTGGTTGGTGGTATGGAAGCATTTGTTTATTTTTATAAGAAACTGCAACACTGTTTTCTGAAATGGTTGTATCGTTTCACATTTCCATCAGCAATGTATCAGAGTTCTGGGTGCTCCACATTTTCTTTTTGAAGAAGATTAGCCCTGAGCTAACATCTGCTGCCAATCCTCCTCTTTTTGCTGAGGAAGACTGGCCCTGAGCTAACATCCATGCACGTCTTCCTCTATTTTATATGTGGGACACCAACCACAGCATGGCGTGCCAAGTGGTGCCATGTCCGCACCTGGGATCTGAACTGGCGAATCCCGGGCTGCCGAAGTGGAACCTGCGAACTTAACCACTGCGCCACTGGGCTGGCCCCTCCACATTCTTAACAATACTTAGGACTGACTTTTTAATTTTAACCATTCAGTATTTCCTTACAGTTTAATTTGCACTTCTCTGATGACTAATGATATTGAGTATCTTCATGTGCTTAATGTCTATTCATTGTGAAGTACACACCCAAATCTTTTGCCCACTTTACTGGGTTGCTTATATTCTTGAGTTTTAAAAGTTATTTACATAGTCTAGATACAAGTCCTTTGTCACATAAGTGTATTGCAAATATTTTCAGAGTGTGCGACTTGCCTTTCATTTTCTTAATGGTGTCTTTCAAAGACAAAAAGTTTTAATTTTGATGAGATCCCATTTATCAAATTTTTGGGATTTATCTGTGTCCCAAGAAATTTTTGCCTACTCAAAGTTACAAAGACTTTCACCTATGTTTTCTTCCAGAAGTTCTATAGATTTAGTTTTTATGGTCTATTACAAGTTAATTTTTTATATATGTTGTAAAGTCAATGTTCACTTTTTTCCATATGAATACTGAGTGCCAGAACCATTTGTTACTAAGATAATCCTCCCCACCTTGAATTACTTGGTATCTCTGTTGAAAATCAATTAACCAATTATTTGTGAGGGTCTATTTCTGGACTCTATTCCGTCCCACTGATCTATGTGTTAGCCCTTTCACCAATACTAGTCTTCACTACTGTAGCTGTATACAAAGCCTTGAAATTGGGCAGTGTAATCCCTTCTACTCACCCTTACACTTTGCAGCTGTGCCCTGACACGGCAAGTCAGCGAGGCTGCTGCCTCCCTGCTGCACCAGCCTCGGGAACGCACTCACTTGAAAACGCAGAAACTTCAGAGCCTCGCTTGGTGCGCTCCTGTCTCTTGTCTCGGGTTTCTGCTCACTTTTGGGCCAGGCTCTCTAGGGCCCCCAGGGCATGCACAGTTTAGTGATCAGCCAGGGATTTGGGCAGTTTCTACTCAGATTTGGGTTTGAGCCCTCTGTGGCTTTCTTGCTTCCAGGATTTTCCTGTTAAGTTTTCAATATTCTTCAAATCCTGAACTCTTTCTTTTGCCACTTCAATATGATAAGGCCAGCATTTTCCACCATTGTGGTCGTGGAGGTTAGGGAAAACTCTCAGGCAAGAAAGCCACAAACTCCCAATTCTAAGCCACTGCAGCTGCTGCTTTTCAAGAATAAACTCTCCTTCAGCTTTGGTCTGCTTTTGGACACTTTTTGGTCCCTTTAAATAATAGTTTTATTTCCAAATTTTATAACATATCTGTCAGAGGGTTTGCATAACATCTTCATCCCACCATCCTTACCAGACATTCTTGCCAAATTTCTTTATATATTTATCCTGTGTGGGAGTGCCATCTTTCTCAAGTAATTGCTCACTCAATCATTTGGCTTGCTTACTGTTCAACACAAACTGCTTCACCTTTAAGAGTGGGTCTGCATGTTCCAGGTACCAGCCAGCAACCGCATGGCCTGCCTCATGGTACGCCACGGTCTTCTTCTCCTCTGGCTGCAGAACTTGGGTCTTTTTCTCTAAGCCTGACAAAATAATAACAAAAAAACAAAAACCACTGCTTTACTGACATCAACACAAAAAGACAGTTATACACTACCACATACTGCCTTATCTAAAATGTGACTTAGAGACACAGCTGCCTATAACAATCCACAGATTCCCAATCAAGGTCAGAATAAAACTGAAGGATCAATTTCAAAATACAGCCAACTACAGCAAAAATGCATGCACTACCCTACCCCCAGGTCCACTTTTCTCTTAACGCTCCCATTTTTTTGAGCCACATTATCTTGTTTTTGGTAAACAAACAAAAATGCAAAATAAAACTCAGCACTTCGGTTAATATAAACCATATAAAATTCACAGAAAACAAAGAAGCCTGGAAAGAACTCACTGCTGAGTCTAGGTATCTGGAATTATCAAGCACTAGGTAAACAAAGATGCCTGCCATGAGAGACTGCCTGCTGTCTGCTCCCGACGGAAGACAGACCACAGTGAGAGGGAGAAGTGCACTAGTGCAGAGCCGGGAAGATCTACTGAGACAGCTGGCCAGGGGTGCTGCAGCTCCCAGCATGCTCACCAAACAGCCCAGGGCTTCAAAGAGCAGCAGCAGACCTGAGAAGATAAGCCCAGGAGACGCTGTGCCGGGCCCACATGTCGACTGCCGAGCTGAAGGACGCCTGATCCAAGCAGGACTCCTCTCTGCACGGAGAGAGGCGGGCGCTGAAGCTCGTTTGTGCCTCTGCACTGCGGAAGCTGACTGCGTATTTTGTACTAAGACAAATCGTCACACTGTGACAACGGTTTTGTTGTGTTCAAGGTAACTCATCTGGGAGAACCCCCCAAGTGATTACACATGAAGGAGTCTGGAAGATTTTAAAAAGAGAGCGCTATGTTCTGAGTGATGCAGCCCAAGACAAGTACACACCACATAGCGGCAAGGGTAGAAAGTTACAGAGGGCGAGTTAACCACCCCTGTTTTCCAGGGATAAGCAGTTCTTGCTGAAAAACCAGGTTTCTCCCCATAGTTTATCACAGGACCATCTCCTTTTCTCAGTATGCCATCTTACTACAGAACGACTGCTCATGGCTGGCTTCCAGCAGCTGAGGTGTGGGTGGGTCAGCATCGTCCCCTCTGAGCAGGGGCTCCGGCACTACGTGCTGTCCCCTGGTCTTTCACTCAGTTTTTTACTAAGCACTGATGGCTTCCCCTTGACCTAAAGAGGCTCAAATACAGTTTTCACCTGTCTCCAGTGAATTAGTTTAATTCCATCTACAACTCTTATCATCTTAGATTTTTTCTTTTCAATAACAAATTTCTAGAATAAGTGGTCTATTTATTCATTCAATAGTTGTTTACTTAGTGTCTAACCCAGGTTAAGCACATCACTATACCAGTTCTAGTTTCTCACTGGAATCTCCACTCAATTGAAACTCTTCATGTCAAATGTCACCAAGAACAGTCACGCCGCCAAATCCAAAGGTCATTTTCCTTAACATCCCCGCATCACTTGATCCTGCTGACAACTCCTTTATAAACATGTCTTTGCCCTTGTCTCCCTTCTCTTCCAGCCTCCTCGGTTTCCTTTAATGGCATCTCTTCCTAGTCTCATTTGCTGATGTACCTTCCAGGCCTGTGGCACACAAGCTTTGGTCACTTTGTTGACTCACTTTTCTCCCCTCTGCTACCAAATATGGGCATTTGGCAATGTTTACTGTGTGGGCCCCTCCCTGAGCACTCTCACCCACCTTCACACCACGGGAAGCACAGCCCAGCCCACTGCAGTGCTGCACAGAGGTCCACGTGCACGTCCTGCCCTGTCTCACACTCTGCACATCTCATTTTCTGCCAAACCAGCTGCCTCTTGGAGCACCTTATTCTTCCTGGGGTCTTTCAGGCTGTCGTTTTTTTGCCTCTTACCACTGGGACTCCCTATGCTAAGGCCTGCTATCTCACACGAACGGCTACAAGGTTCTCTGCCTCCACATGCTTCCCTCTTCAAAGCCAGATTCATTTTCCTAAAATGTCAGATTACCATGTTACTCAGTGGCTCAGGAAAACTCCCACATTAGTTCAATACTGGCCACAGGACAAAAATGCCCTTGAGCTTAACATTCAAGGCTTTCTAAAGCTAGACATAAATAACTTTTTCAATGTTGCCTTACTTCCCACAGGAACTTGAGTCTGACCAGTTTACTTTCCCTCCACAAACACAGGGTGTAACACTGCTAGCTGCAAACCACCTTCTGTTCAGGCCACTTACACAGCATGTCCCATTTTCTACTGAACAGTTTAAATCCCACCTCTTCTGTGGAGCCCTCCCAATTGCAGTCTTTCCCCTCCTTTGAATGCTCGAGTTCTTGAATTGCATGTTATCTTTTTTATGGGTATTAAATCATACGCTCTCTAGAAAGCAAGGAAAACACGTAATGTACATTGCCCACTGTGCCGGCTGGGTGGGCATTTCCTGGTCAAACAGTTGACACAGCTGTTTATCCATCACAGCAGTATCTATCTAGCATAGAGCACATTTAACTCATGCAATGAAATTTTTGGAAATAGGAAGGCTGTGAGCATTTTCAAAAAACTAGATTGGTATAATTCCGGGGCAGACACCTTGCTGCTTGCTGCCCATGTGAATGAGGCAGTGTGCGGGCTGCCATCTCAGACTCACTCAACACCCACACCACTGATCTCCACATAGACCACAGGGGAGGGCAGGAGGCTCGCAGCACCAAAGGAACACAGCAAGTGCATGGTGAGCCCCAGGGCCAGGCGTATATAATGTTCTTCGTTTCTAGGTCTAAACAAAACAGAAAAATCCCTGGCCTCAAATTCATTTTATCAGCCTTTTGACGAGAATTACATTCAGTTGCCTTACCACCAATCACTCGTTCAATTGCTTGTTCAAAATGTTTCTGATTTATAGAATCTGAAAGGTGTCTCGCAGCAATCAATGCAGCTTCATTACAGACATTAGCAACATCAGCTCCTACAAAATGAACACAGAGAAAAGCTTACCCACCAAATACACTCAAACTTGATTAGTCACACATTATGAATGACCAAACCCAGCCAATTTCTCACCCAGCAGCAGACTGGGTAAGGGTTTTACATAAATATAATTCAGTTTGATGCACGACCACCCTGAGCTGTTCTAGCATTCAGTAATAGCCTGGTATAATTCTAAGCCTTTGAACTGAGATGCAAGTATTTATAGTAAATAGATAATTACAAGCAGCTATTTACCCTCATAGATAATATGGCTCATATAAGGGCAAACTAAGACAGTATTTAAAAATGCCCATTAATTAAATTAGTTCCACCATCTCTGTTGGGAAAGTGACTTATGTGAATATTAGGCGATATGCTGAAATATAATGGAAAACATAAGCATTAAAGTAGCCTAGTATATTCAGCTAAACAGAAGTTAAACATGTGAGGCTTGCCAAATGCTTTACTAGATCTCTAAGTCTCCTTAAATTGACTTTTCAGATAAAGTATATGGTAACACAAAAGCTCTAACACAATGTATGTGCTCAATAAACAAATATTAAACAGTATGGACAGTCCTCAAAAAATTAAAAATAGAACTACCATATGATCCAGCAACACCACTTCTGGGTAATCATCTGAAGTAAAAAAAAACACTTATTCAAAAAGATAGATGCACCCCTATATTCACTGCAGCATTATTTGCAATAGCCAAAATACAGAAGCAACCTAAGTGTCCATCAGTAGATGAATGGGTAAAGAAAATGTGGTACATATACACAATGGAATATTACTAAGCCATAAAAAAGAATGAAGTCCTCCCACTTGCAACATGGATGGATCTAGAAGGTATTATGCTAAGTGAAATAAGCCAGACAGAGAAAGAAAAATACCCTGTCATTTCACTTATATGTGGAATCTAAAAATAAAAACAAAAAACAAATGAACAAAGGAAACACAACAGAAACACTCATATACAGAGAGAAAACTGCTGCTTGTCGGGGGAAGGCGGCGCAGGGGGAAGGCAGAAACAGGCAAAAGGAGTTAAGAGGCACAAACTTCCAATCATAAAATAAATAAATCATGGGGATGTAAGGTACAGCATTGGGAACAGAGTCAACAATACTGTAATAACTTTGTATGACAGATGGTTACTAGTCTTAGAGTGATCATTTTGTAACATAAATAAATGTCAAATCACTATGCTGTACACCTGAAACTAATACAATATTATATACCAACTATACTTCAAATAAATAAATAAACAAAAGTAAATAAAATGCTACAAATTCCAAAGTCCAAAGACAAGAAACAAGTAAAAACTTAGGACCTCTAGGCCATTTAAGTTGTCTGTCTTCTTTTGACCATACACTATCCATGAGATGGCACTTCACACCTGCTAGGATGGTTACAATAAAAAAGACAGACTGAGATGAGGATGTGAGGCTGTGGAGAAATTGGAACCCTGAACTCTGCTAACAGGAATGTAAAATGGTGCCGCCACTTTGGAGAACAGGTTGGTAGTTCCTCACAAAGTGATCTAGCAATTCCACTCCTAGGGATAGAACCAAGAGAAATGAAAACATATGTCTACACAAAAACTGTATGTGAATGTGAATACAGCATTATTCATAACAAAAGCCAAAAGACGGAAATAACTCAAGTGTACAGCAACTGATGAATGAATGGATAAGTAAGATGTGGTATGTCCAGACAACGGAATGTTATTTGGCCATAAAAGGAATGAAGTTCTGACACATGCTACAACACGGATGAACTCTAAAAACATTATGGTAAATAAAAGAAGTCAGAAAGAAAAGACCACATGTTGGATAATTCTATTTACATGAAATATCCAGAAAAGGAAAATCTATAGAGGCAAAAAGTAGATTAGGGGTTGCCTAGGGCTGGGGGTGGAGGGAGCGGCTGCTAATGGATTCTTTTGGGGTGATGAAAAATGTTTTAAAATTACAGTGATGCTTATACAACTCCATTTGTATTTAGTAAATATATTAAAATATATTGAATTGTACACTTCACAGAGGAGAATTCTATGGTATGCTAATTTTATCTCAATAGAATTGTTTTTAAAAAAACTCTTAGGAATAACTTCTGTGATATTTATGGATGAAATGATATGTTGTCAAGGAATTTGTCACAAAATAATCCAAAGGTAGAGGGAAGAGGGCAGAGTATAGATGAAATATGGTTGGACAATGGGGCTGGCCAAATGGCACAGTGGTTAAGTTCGCACGTTCTGCTTTGGCAGCTGGGGGTTTGCCGGTTCGGATCCAGGGTGCAGACCTACACACCACTTGTCAAGCCATGCTGTGGTAGGCGTCCCACATATAAAGTAGAGGAAGATGGGCATGGATGTTGGCTCAGAGCCAGTCTTCCTCAGCAAAAAGAGGAGGATTGGCCGTGGAGGTTAGCTCAGGGCTAATCTTCCTCAAAAATAAAAAAATAATAAGGTTGGAGATGAATCAATAATTGTTCCTGATAGGTGATGGATGCAGAGGGGTTCATTACACTATTTTCTCAACTCCTATTATATTTGAAATTTCCCATAATAAAAAGGTAAAAATATATACTTGTGAGGCCCCAAGGTGAGAGGTAACAAAGTGAACTGGTACCTGGTAACTGTCACTGATTTAAAGGACTTATAAACAGGACAGCAGATTATGTTCCACTCACCTGAAAACCCTGGAGTTAAGGATGCAAGTTTTCTTGCCAATTTCTCCTTTTCCAGTGCACTGTCCAGTTTTAGTGGTCTGAGGTGAACTTTGAAAATAGAGGCTCTTCCTTTTATGTCCGGTGGTCCTTGAGAAATTATTTTTAAGGGGAAAAAAACCATAGTGAAATGGTTATCTCTCTCTTCACGAGGACTGGATAGAACCCAGTGAAAATCATCTCACCAATAAAGATCTGCCTATCGAAGCGCCCTGGCCTCAAGAGTGCGGGGTCTAGGATATCCGGCCGATTGGTGCCTGCCAAAATGACTACATTTGTTGTGGTGTTGAAACCTGAAAATAACAAAGATGCAATCATTATTAAATGTCATGAGGCGGAAAGCAACAATGTGCCTGTCAAAATGTATGAGCACTACAGATACATTGTTATGTTAAAATCTTTCTTCAGTTTATTATCTAGTGCTTTTTAACTCACAAACTTAAATTATTTTCCTTACTAGTCATCTTGTCCTTAATGATAATAGTCATATATGACTTACAGCTTTAAGAATCAATTTTCTAAAGACAAATTACCAAAGATTTTTTTTTGAGGAAGATCAGCCCTGTGCTAACATCTGCCACCAATCCTCGTTTTTTTTGCTGAGAAAGACTGGCCCTGAGCTAACATCCGTGCCCATCTTCCTCCACTTTATATGTGGGACATCTGCCACAGCATGGCTTGACAAGCAGTGTGTAGGTCCGCACCTGGGATCCGAACTGGCGAACCCCAGGCCACTGAAGCGGTACATGCACACTCAACCACTGTGCCACTGGGCCGGACCCCTAAAGATTTTAATTTATTTAACTAGAAATTTAGATTATGCTGTCAATTTTTAAAATGTTTTCAAATCACTAAGGTTAAATTTGCATACAATGTGTCTAAAGTCCCTGGGCCACAGGACAACCTACCATATATGTGAGCAAAGGTGTCAACCTCTACTCCTGACCTCTTCTCCAGGCTCAACTTGCTCGGTTTTATCAAATGCCAATGCCATAGTCTCAGAACCCTGGCACTGAGAGGGCTCAGGTGCTGATTTCCCCTAAACGTGGCACTCTGATTCACGCGGGCCTACACATGGACCAACCGCCAGACTGGAGGAGGGGGCTCAACCTTCTTATTCTCAACACTATGCCCAGCTCAGCAATGTAAACCAGTTCAATACTCGGCAGCACGCTTCCCCTTTCAAAGCACACAACAGCATCGACGTATCTGACAGCGGGAAGGAGGTGGCACATCCTAAGAGTTGGCTTTCCTCAATAAAAGAGAAAGTTGACTGACGTGGAAAGACTGCTACTCTCTTACTGGAAGAGTATTTGAAATCTGCCAAATCCACACTTGGTTACACATGGGTTTTCCAGATGCTTCCAAATCATAAATGGTTTTGAGAATGACACTATAATTTTTCTGTGAATCATTTCACCAATTTTTCTCTTATTCAACATGTGGTACAAATACCATCTTAACATCAATATTAAGTTATGGCAGGCTGCCAGGCAAGAATATTTTGCTATTAACTCCTGGTATAAAAGAGCCTCTAAAAAGGGCTGTCTTAGAGAATGCTTTTTTTCCTGTACTGGATAACAGCATAAGGATTTTCCTTTTAGATATACGCGGAACAATTAGAAAGTGCAATTTGCAATACAAAAGACTTGAGTATTCACCATCCATTTCCACAAGCAGCTGATTGAGTGTATTCTCCTGCTCACTCTGCCCCCCGAAGTTGCCTCTTCCTCTCTTCCTTCCCACAGCATCTATTTCATCAATGAAGAGAATGCAAGGGGCGTTCTTCCGAGCAAGGGCAAATAAGTCTCGGACCTGGACAAAAATACAAATAACAGACAAGTCAGTATAATTTATCCTTCTAATTAAAAATAAACATCAAGTTTCCTATCCCATAGGAAGACAACCTTTTGTGTTATACACTCTGCGGTACATATTTAAAAGTTACCAGCGGCAAAGAAGTGAAGTGACAAATGATGAGTAGCTTGGTGGGTAACTGATTTAAGGTGAGCAAATATTATTTCTCTAATCTCATACATTAATGTATATGTAATAAGCACTACTGATATCTGCTATTTTTAAAACATCAACAAACTCATACTACACATTTTTAGCCTACAAAAAGGTAAAAGTTCAGCCATAAATCTTTACATTCAGTTTAAAGCTCAAACTGCTCCGAGGTGCACATGTCACGCCTGAGGCAGTTATTAACAAGCAGAGACTGACTAACAACAGACCCAGGCAACACGGACACAGAAAGCAAAGGCAATGACCTACCCAGGCCCAGACAGTGATCACCCCAGAACGACCGACGGTGACCTGCCTCAGCCCCACTGCAAGAGGAGCAGGCCCTGCACACACATTCTGTCCCACAAGCACATCCCAGGTCAATAGTTTAAGCGGGCTGAAGAAGAAACAGCCATCTCCAGGCCTCACCATCAGCTAAGAGTTCAGGGTCTCGCCCATCGTCTTGCCCCTAAGACATTCCGAGACAAACTCCCTATGCTCACACCTCTTTTTATTTCACTCACCAGAAGTCTCTCCATCATCCTCTCCTGCCTGGAATTCTAGGTTTTCAGTCCTATACTGCTCTAAACACATGCCCTAACATAACTCACATCCCTCTACGGCCTCCCCCACTGAACTCCAGATCTGTCATCAACAACCCCCTACCCTCTCAAGCTCTTCCCTGAACATTTCCTTCACCTCCATGACCGACCTAAAATTTGGCCGTTCCTGCAAAGCTAAAGCTCTCAACTGGAAGGTGTTTGTATCTTTCCCTCCAGGCCAGCTGAAGTTGGGGTCCACCTCACGCCCTGTTACTACTGCCAAAATAATTCTGCTGGAAAATGCCCTGCTCGCTAAGGGTCCTGCCCAGTGGCAGGCACTCTACCCTCTGGCCACTCTCATCCTCTACAGGCCTGATGTCCCACTCCCCGACCCACACCCTTCACAAGGTGCTATTTTCTTAGTGATTTCCACATCTGAACGGGTCTTGGTCTCTAGGTTCCCTGACTCACCCTTCAATCACCTTTTGCTCCACTGACATGGCCAGCACTGCCAGGGCCCCCTCTAAACAGCCAGCCTCAGGCAGTCTACTCTCTGACCACTCTCCTACCAGTTTGACCGGCCTATGTACTCAAGCATCTCCCACAACCAATTCTTTACCTATTTCGTAGGTCTACATCCCATTAGGCCCACTGCTTTCCCACCATCTACAGCTCCTCTCCTGTCTTCAGTTCATCTCTTGCCCATATTAGATTCCACGGGCCATCATTATAAACACTCAACTCCCCCACGCTCCTCTATTTTTCTAAGACGTATCTGCCTTACAAAACCCACATAAATCCACTTACTCCACCTATGATAGTTCATTTCATCGAAGATGCCAACAATGGTATTACTATACTTGCCACTGAGAAAGAAAAAATGCTGCCAAGTGATAACACAACAGTTTGTTATTGACTGCAAGTTGTATCCTAATGTTTGGAAAAGTAATTGTGATAGCACTTGGCATTTCTAAAGCACTTCAAAAAAGACTCAACACTTTAGATACTGGTAAAATACATAACAGCAAAAATTTAAGTGTTTCTTTAAAAATTAATCCACATTCACACTTCCTGATTTCTAAAGTTACTACAAAGCAACAGTAATCAAGACAGAATGGCACTGGCATAAACACAGACATATAGGTCAATAGGACAGAACTGAGAGTCCAGAAATAAACTTTCATGTCTATGTATGGTCAAGGGTGCCAACACCATTCAATGGGGAAATAACAGTCTTTTCAACAAACGATGCTGGGAAAACTGGATATGTACACGGAAGGGAGAGGAGCTGCACCCTTACTCACACCGCTGACTCAAAATGGACCACAGAGCTAAACATAAGGGCCAAAACTATAAAACTCTTAGAAGAAAACATACGAGTAAATATGTATCACCTTGGATATGGCCACAGATTCTCAGATATGACGCTAAAAGCACAAGCAACAAAAGAAAAAAGCAGATACACCGAACTTCATCAAAATTTAAAACTTTTGTGCGTCATTATCAAGAAAGTGAAAAGACAATGCACAACGGAAGAAAATATTTGCAAATCATAGATCTGATTAGGAGTTAGTATCCGGAATATATAAAGAACTCTTACAACTCAACAACAGACAGACAATCCGTTTAACAGCCTGCAGTCCTGGCTGGGGTGGGGATGACTGGGCGGAAGCCACAGGCTGTGCAGCAGAGTCTGCCCTGGAAGAGTGTCCGGGGCAGTTATGGTGAGAGGTCACTCCAGAGGACACCAGGGCACAGGGCCATCTTCACCAAGTCCCCATCTGGAGAGAACTAGAGGGAAGGGGGAAGAAGCTACACCATCAGAACAGAAGAGAAGACTTACTCTAGCTGGACCCACACCCACAAACATCTCCAAGAACTCGGATCCACTAACGGTGATGAAAGGAACGTTCGCTTCCCCAGCTGTGGCCTTAGCTAGCAGCGTCTTCCCGGTACCTGGAGGACCAGTGAGAATGGCACCCTTCAGATAAAAAAAGAGAAAACATATTTAACTATAATTCAGAAAAACTGCATATCCATAAATAACTCCTAAGGTATAAATCTGTCTACAAATTTCAGTAATATACACTAAGCATTTCTTAAACATTTGAACTATGGTAGAACATTTTTATGTTAGTAAGAAGTGTAAGAAAAAGATTATTATAGACTGTTTTGTTTTAAAAAAAACTGGTAAGAATATGAAATTTTAAATATTTCCCTTATTTTATAAGATTTTTAGTAGTTTCTTTTTAGGCCTTTCTAACAGTATATAAAGGGTGACTTAAGCTAGGAAACTAACAAACCAATTGCGGTCTACTTAAATAATTCAAGGAGACACAAACACCACACTCCCAATTTACATTTTCTTCCCTTTAAGATTTCACAAATGAAGTAAAAATATAATGACCAATGATGAACTTAAAAAGAAAAAAATGAAGTGTTTGCTCAAACACTATAATTACTTAAGTTGTGGAGATCCTAAGTATGATGTGAACAAGTACTTAAATAATAGCAAATTATAAAGTTATAAAATATGACTTTTTATCCATGTGGGCAAGACATGAAATCAAGAAAATGATGATTCCTGTTAGAAAAGATTCCTTTAAAGTAAACTTTATTAATGGATTTTTAAAAGAACTAGTTCAATTTTTTTGATTCATTTACTTAATGACCTAGCCTGGCCCTGGGAGTACAAACATCAGTGAGGCCGCCTATGGCCCACAGCGGGCACAGGGACGTCTGCTGGGAGGAGGGAGGTGAAAATTGGTGCTCCTGTCTTCTCCACCGAATCCTGCACCATGAACCTCAGTGCCAAGCCCAGGCAGAGGGTTCATCCACATCTGCTGAGGGAGGGACAACCAGGTGACGGCAGGGAGCACATGCTCAAGGTACTACAGCTGCCGAAAGCTCGGGCAACTAAATCAGACTGGGGAGGAAGGAAGGCAAATCAAGGAAGGCTTCCAAGCAGAGAGAACACAAATCTTCTCAGGACTATACGCACCACATGCAAAAAGACAAATTCACAGAACAACTGACCCAAAAATACTCTGGAGTTAAGCAGAGACTATAAGTTAAGAGAGAGGAAGGAGAAAAACAGCCACATTATAGTAAGTAACCAAACTTTACAAAATTATAACTTCAGAGATCAAGACATAATTCAAAAGATTTGGGGCTAATGAGTGGAAAACAACCTTCTGCGAGTTCATTTTACCTTTGGTATTTTTGCTCCTAGGTCTTGATACTGCTTCGGGTTTTTCAAGAAATTCACAAACTCCATTATCTCTAGTTTGGCCTCCTCGCAGCCAGCCACATCTTTGAACTTCACGTCGATCTCATCCTTTAAGACTTTGGCAGTGGTTTCTCCAACACTGAAGAGTCCACCCATCCCCCGGCCTGATCGACCAATACCAGCAGGCCCTCTTCGTATGGTATATAGCAAGAAAGCGATGATGAGCACCGTGGGCAGCATGCTCAGGAGAAACGAACTAAAGGGAAGCACACAGAACAGTGACATGTTTTTAAGACTGTTAATCTTTGGCTTTTTAAATGTTTTGCAAGATACACTTTTTGCTAACTGCTTGGGATAATTATTGCATACATTTTCTTTCTTTCTTTCTTTCTTTCTTTCTTTTTGGTGAGGAAGACTGGCCTTGAGCTACCATCTATTGCCAATCCTCCCCTCTTTGCTTGAGGAAGACTGTCCCTAAGCCAATGTCCGTGCCAATCCTCCACTTTGTATGTGGGAGGCCTCCACAGCATGGTTTGATGATCAGTGTGCAGGTCCATGTCTAGGATCTGAACCCGCAAACCCCAGACCACCCAAGTAGAGTGCACAAACCCAACCACTATGCCACTGGGCAGGCCCCCATTTTCTATTTTTCTACAACCTGAATATTCTAATATTTTATCTGAAGCTCAAGGATAATCTTAGTGTGTCAATATCACTGAAGCAGAACCACAGAAGACCAAAAAAAACCCATCTGTTCTTATGATGTATGCTGTTCACTGACATTTTATTCCTATCCCAATAACCACCACTTATGCACAGTACAGACTTAATTGTGATTTACCATCATTATATCTGAGTTTCTAGGAAATTTCTTTTGAATTACTCACTTAAAAAACTGCTGGTATTAGCATACATAGAAATTCCAGTTCTCTTACAGAAATGCATCAACTACTCTGAAGAGATGCCTTCCAAGTATCGAACCCTTGCTAAGTTAACAGATACCAGTTTCGAAAGCCCTGTATACAAAGGTGAGAGCTAGTGTGGTGTTCTTGACTAGCATCATACAGGCCACTGTGTGCGGCTTATGCAGGGCAACAGAGACTCCCAGTGGAAGCGGTGCGCCCTGCAACCTCACGCTGCTCTAGAGAGAACTGCTTGGAAAGGACTTATAGTCTGGGGATGCCTTTTGCCTTTTGTTTGTCTGTCTTAACAAAGTTAATTTTAACACAACTATGACCACAGATATATACTTAAAAGGTAATATAATGAACTTTAGTTTAACTTACCCTAAGAAATTTGGAACAAAATCTTGTACAAGTTTAGGTCAAAAACAAAACAAAACAAAACCCATGCCAGGATTTGCTTTCTAATTTTTCACCTATTACAAAATTCTAAATGCTGCCACAGCAGGCAGCAAGAATCACGAAAAATTTATTTCCGGAGGAAAAAAAATGCACTGATGATAAAGGTTTAAAGAATGATGCAACAAAACTTTTTGTAATGTTTCAGCACCAGCCTATAGAGTTAAATAATTATATGACAGTCTGGGGCAGAGGGATATATCATATGTGAAATAACCTCAATAGCCATCTGCATCTAAATACTGCAGGTAGCTCATAGGTCTACACAAACCAAGATTCAAGAAAGTTCCTAAAACTGAGTAACACCATCAGGTTGATTAACACACTAGCTTTCTGTTTTTCTGCTCTTTTAAATATACAGAAAAATTAAAATTTATTTCTACTTTCACTCTTGAACTGGTACCTCTACAGCAAGGTATACCTTCTGCATTTAATGCAAATAGAGTGACTCCCAGGAGATCTAGCTGGGCGTATGTGGATGAACACTCAAAGGCAATACAATTCCCAAGTAAGCTCAAAGACAAGCAACTCTTGCAATCAATGGACCCTTCTTGAAAGACCCAGACTTGTAAGTGGCCTCACTAAAGACAAAAAACCTCTAAGGGAAGAAGCAGCTCTGATGAGAGAGCAAGAAGAGTTACTTAAAAATCCTGGAAAACTCTGTGAAATATAAATGTAAATGATAGTAAAAAGTGGGAATGCCACTCTTCAACACAAAGGGGCTCTTTATGCTAAAATCCTAGAAAAAGAGAGTGCATTGGACATTAATACCCCAAACTACTCCCTAATCAATATAAATATAAATGTGTAGAAAATCAATCAGTCACTAGCAAAAACCAGTAGGTTACTAATGGTTTAGAAAAAGAACTCTGGCCAAACTGAGAGAGGCCTGCTTAAGAATATAATGCATAACATTATAATACAGAGTGAACCACACAGAGCACCGTGAACAGTCTTCCACATGTTTCTGTGTTTTCATTGCTTCTTACCCATCACTTTCAGCAATGTAGACAACAGGTACCCGATTCTCCCCTTCTATGCCCAATTCCTGCTGTAAAGTTTCCAGATTCCGCTCAAAGGTGTCCACACTGCCAATATTAAACCAGACGTATTGCTATAAAAACAGAAAAATGAAATATTCTAATTTTGTTAGGGAAAGGAAGGGGAAACAAAGGGTTCAAGTCACTAAAGCATTCAACTTTTCAAGAATTTTTCAGAAATACTGAAAATTTACAAATTTTTTAATTAACTAATTAATTTTTTAAAATAGCAATAATAAAAGACTAGTTTTAATGATGCGGTGATTAAGTTTCACTCAGTGAGAAAACCTGGCAATCCTTGGCAAATAAGTATTTCTTTAGCAATATTCCTCAGTGGTTCTAAAATAATAAACTCAAAAGAATGAAAAATCCATTTGAAAAGACAGTCCTTTTCGTAAAGAAATATGCATCCTTTTTCTCTTCTCCATTTCCCAGGTATTTCTCAGTTACCTGTTCCCAAACTAACGCTAACGTGACACAGTAATAACAGCTAAAGTTTTCTGAACACTTACTAAGTGTCTGGCATTGTTCTAAGCCCTTTACATATATTAATTCATTCAATTTTCAGAACCACCCTAAGAAGTAGGTCCTATCATTGAACCTCTGGAAGGCATCCCCACCACCGAATGAGAACAGAAGTGCGCCTCAGTGTGCTAAGCGCTACCCTCTATTCACTCGATCTAGTAGGTTTCTGCGGGCTCAGGGAGAGACCCTGAAGGGCCTGAGACAATGGCTATGTTAGCCAACAGCATAGACGTATTCCACCCTGTGCTGGTGTTTACTGGCTGAATATCAGTCCTGACTCTTACCAGACCCATTTTATAGATGAGAAAACTATACAGGTGACGGCACTTGCCCACAGTTACACATCTACTAAGAGGCTGGATCTGAATGCAGGTAGTCTGGCTCTATGCCCAGGGACCCTCATTACCACATCATACCGCCTCTCTTACACAACCACAAAAACACAACTCACAATTATAGAATTTTACTATATACTAGACCCTGTTCCAAGTACTGTGCAAGTATTAGCCACACTTTACAGCACAAAAAGACTTAGTTCCTCCTTTAACCTGCAATCCCTTAAAAAAAAATTTTTTTAATCCAAACAGTAAGTCTGTGTTATAAAACTCAAAACGATTCACAAGTGTACACAGAAGAGAGTAATATGTCACCCCATACTCCTCCCACCAACCAGTGTTACTGAGTGGGGAACATCACTCTGGTATTTCTCTCCACGTATCTAAAAACAAAAGATGGAGAGTAAGTTTTATAATATGATATAACATCATGAGGTCAAGAGAATGGGGGAAAAATTAGGACAATTAAAATAACTTTCCAAAAAGTGATTGAAACACCAGAGCCATATAACTTTACAGATATTCTTACATTTACTGATATGCGATCAGAGAGAGACGGCAACCATAAGTCCTAGTTGTCCTTAAATGTTGCCCCATCTAGGCAGGATGACTCAGGAAATGGTTAAACAAAATCGTCCAAGAGAAGAGCTGTAACGTGGTAGAGAGGTCTGGCCCTGAGGAGAAGGTCTTAAGACAGCAGATGATAAGGGTGCAGGGCTAGGCCTGGCGGGTAAGGCCCAAAGCAGAACTAGGAGTCACCTGGGAACGTTATCTGCCTGCCCCCACCTCCCCGCAATAACCCCCTCAACCTGGTCTAGGATCTCTGGAACAGAGTTCAAACTGCTGTACAGGAAATACCAAGTATTTTAAAAATAAGAGAAGAAATGGAAATTAATATAGTATCACGAAACTGCTGGGAGAGATATGATCAGAATGCTTCTTAAACTGATTTGAAAAAAGCTGTCTCAAGACATAAACAATTCAGATTTTAACATGTTTTTTCTAACCAAACAATTGTTTTCTCAGTCTTGAAAAATCACAGATGATACTGGAGTAGTGAAAACTGGGATTTCACTCAGTTTCCTAAAGGTACAGCCAAAATGATTACCAAAACGAAACCCAAACACAAACGACGAACCCAGTCCTTGTATCACAGTTACGTACACACAACATTCACAGTCTCATCTACGTTAGTGAAGATTACAACTGCTGCATTGTCCAATTCCAGGAGATCCTGCGAACAGAGCACTACAATGCGAGCGAATGTGTGCTTTTCAGCTTTAAATATGAAAAGTTAACTTACAGCGAATTCACATCAATTAATAAAATCATTTACCCCATCAACGGGAGTTTTTCCTGGTGTAAAAGTCACTCGAACAAAACGCTTGTTGACGACTTCCAGTCTGTCTACCTGGAATTTTAAAAAGTTAAATATTTAAAGAAATTTACAGAAAACACTTGACATATTCTTCAGCTCATTTAAAACGCAGATGATATTTCACACATATAAAGAATAATGAGTGACATACAGATGCTCCCTGTTCCCCCACTCTGCCTAGAGAAAGAAAACATCACAGACACTGCTGAAGCTGCCAGTCACACCCTCTCCCCAGAGGCGGCCACTCTCCACATTAGGGGCTGACCGTCCCAAAGCATGTCCTGGTACTTGTGCCACATGCAGATATAACCCTACACGTACACTCACTTTTACCTGTTTTTAAACTTTAAAAATGGCCTTGTTTAGCATATATTCTTCCACAATTTCCTTTTTCTTCCTATTGTTATATTTGTGAGGTTTACCCATGCTGACATGTCACTTCTGCAGACTATTCCATTTTATGAGCAAACCCCAAGTTACATATCCATTCTTCTGTAAACAGACATTTAGGTTGTTTCAAAATGTTCACTACCACAAACAACGCTGTTACAAACATTCCTGCATACACCTTCTTGGGCACATCTTCAACAATTTCCCTGCAATGTGTACCTATAGATAGATCGGTAAGGCTTTACCAGACACTGCCAGATAGCTCTCCAGAGTGGCTCTCCAATTCACACTCCCTGCTAAAACAGTCCTGTTGTTCTAATCCTTACTTGCTATTATGAGACTTTTTAATTTTTGCCACTCTACAGGGCTAAAACGGTTTAAATTTGTTTTTTTCTGTAACCTCCTAACCATACAGGATTCTTAAGAACACTCTTAAAAACCTCATCCCAAGGTTTCTGACTGATTTGCAGTACGAGCCCTTGGGGAGAGGCTTGTTTCCTGCTGCCATTAAGTCTGCTGTGGCAGGAAGCCTAGAGGGTGTGAGTCAAAAATGGAAAGTGAGGGAGCCCCAGATAATTCCAGGAGCTGGAACAGGGGACTGGCTGTTCCTAAAGGTAGGCAGTCTGGAGAGGAATGACTCAAGTACTCTACCCCTGATACAACTGCTGGGGCAACAGCAGACAGATTCCATGAACCAGTGGGTCAGAAGGAGATGCAGCTATGGAGAATCCTCCCCAAAGACCTGTCCCCCAACTTGGAAGGACGGCTGCAGCCCCCTCCACACGTGGACAGGAGTTACTCCCTAGAAAGCAGGCTCCCACAAACACCTGGAATTACACATAGCGTATCCTTGCTTTCACGAGAGAAACACTTGCTTCAAAACCCTGAGTAGGTAATCATTCCCATTCTTCCAATCCTCAGCTTACTGTATAACCTTTCTTTTTTTTTGATGAGGAAGATTGTTGTTGAGCTAACATTTGTTGCCAATCTTCCTCTTTTTGCTTGAGGAAGATTGTTGCTGAGCTAACACCTGTGCCAGTCTCCCTCTATTTTATGTGGGATGCCACTATAAATGGCTTGACAAGCACTGCGTAGGTCCGCGCCCAGGACCCAAGCCTGTGAACCCCGGGCTGCTGAAGCAGAGTACGCGAACTTAACCACTGCGCCACTGAGTCAGCCCTTCACTGTATAACCTTTAAAAATAATTTTAGATTCTTTATACTACCTCAGTAAGTATTAATACCTTATCTTTATTTTATCCATTTCATTGATGAAAATCCAGTCTTGAGAGGTTACCTAACTTCCCCAAGGTTACAGAGCAGGCCTGGTCCTGGTTCTCACTATCACTTTATTTCATCAATTCTAAGATGGACATTTTTCATATTTTAACATCTCAGAAATTGGGACACATGTGACAACTGATGGCATTTCATAGTTTCATTGGCAGCTTACTAAATTTTTCTTAGTAATATATAAAATAAGGTGTCTTACAATCAATAGCGTCTTAAGTATGCTGAAATAGGGTCTTACTGGGTAAAGACCCAACCAGTGGTGACAGAGGCTCCCGAGCCCTCACTTAGAGCCTGTCTGCATTTAAACACCGAGTCGCTTATTTATGGCCCACGAGAGAGTAAAAGCAGTAAAGACGTAAAGAAGCTGGGAGAGGCTGGCACACTACAGTAGGGAAAAGAGGCAACTGAGGGCACACGAGGAAATGATGGAGCCGAGGGAGGACTCCAGAGCAACAGTTGGGAGCGGTGGTTCCTAAACTAGGTTCTGGTATGAAGTGAAATAAAGGATTCTGTGGTAAATTTGGGGACTGTTGGGTCAAAACAAACAGGTTTTTTTGGTTGCAGTACTTTCTAGCATTAAAAAGTCCAATATGAAAATAGCAACCTTATATCGGACAAATTTGGCTAACTAGTTGACTATTCATTACTTTATTGGTCTAATCTACTGAAATTCACCTTTTCAACCACCACAGACACCAATCCCATAAAATACTTACTACTCCTTTGGAAAGATAGTTATTGACAAAGTCCTTCCAGGTGATTTCTCTCCCAGAGCTCTTGAACAGGAAGTAAAACATGACTCCACCCCAAAACAGAGCAGTCCAGAGAAAGTACATCCTGAATTCCTTGTCATCCCACGGAAAGTCACCCTGGGCAAAGGAGAGAGTTTCTGTGAAGACTGAAATGTCACAATATGATCTACACCATGTTGGACGCAAATCTCTCCCAATGCCATTAATGCCTCCCAACCTTTTCCGGGGACACCTCAGACCTTAAAAATTAACACACAGTTTGAAATCAAACCTTCTGAAACCTGGACCACCAGTGAGAATCATCTTTCTTGCCACCTCGTTTTCCACCACCACCAACTCCTCCTCCAGAAGGGCGCGGGGCAGCAGCTGGCTTCGATTCTGTTCCTAAACAGTGTATACAGCAGCATAGGAGGGTTTTATATCTCTCAACAAGGCTTTCATTAATACAGTTTAATAAAAGACACTGCAAAATACATTATGGTAACTAACAGTTACTAAATAAAGCACTATGAGCAAGGATGAGACTAATACAAAGAGTTAAAATTCATGGACACTCACCAGGGCTGCATATATGTTATCTCATGAAGTCTGCACAGTAACCCAATAACCCAATAAGCATCCTACTACAGTCACGTGTCACACAATGAGGTTCTGGTCAACGACAGACCGTATATACAACGGTGGTCCTATAAGATTAGTACCGTATAGCCTAGGTGTGTAGTAGGCTATACCGTAGACAGTTTGTGTAAGTGCACTCTGACGTTCCTACAATGACAAAATCGCCTAATGAGGCATCTCTCAGAACATATCCCCACTGTTAAGTGACACATGACGGTATACCCATTTTACAGACGAAGAAACTGTAGCTTAGGTACTTATTGAATAATCTGTTGAAGTCTTAAGTGACAGTGAGTGAGTGACAGTTGGGATTTGAATGCAGGTAGGTAAGTGAACTCCTGAGTTCCCACTTGAAGGTAAAAAGTGAGGGTTCCTCTTTCCCACTCTCACAAAGTGAACGCTGCTGATAGTTTCTTCTGTGGGAAAGACATTTTGATAACTGGCAAAAAAAAAAACACCCTCACCCACATAGAATTAGTTTGCAAGAATCTGAGATTAGTCACTGTTACGGGTTGAACTGTGTCATATGTTGGAGTCCTAACACCCAGTGATCTTCTTTGGAGAGATATAGAAATAATCAAGTTAATGAGGCCATACGGGTAGGTCCTAATCCAATATGATTGGTGTTCTATCAAAAGGGGAACTTTGGACACAGACATGCACAGAGAGAAGGCAATGTGAAGAGACACAGGGAGAAGATGGGCATCTACGAGCCAAGGAGAAAAGCCTGGCACAGATTCTTCCTTCATGACCTTCAGGAGGAACTAACCCTGCCAACACATGGATTCCGGACTTGCAGCCTCCAGAACTGAAAGACATACATTTCTGTTGCTTACGACACCCAGCCGTGGTACTTTGTCATGACAGCCCTAGGAAACTAATGCAGTCACTAACACCTTCCTTTTCTCCCCTACTTCTCTATCCTTTCAAAGACCCATAAATACCCTTCTAACATCTTCAACTGCTGTGAAGTCACTGCTCTACTGTGCAGGATGGGAGGCTGCAGCACCCAGCCACCCACAGTAACTGCATGGCACTCTGGCTTCCTGACATGCTCACTCCACCATGATGCACACAAGGAGCTTCTTCTGCACCCCTGTCTCAAGTGAGGGAGGGTCTGAGAGAGGCAAGTCCTACCTGGAAGGAGGCACAGGGCTGGGAAACAGAGTATGCACATTTCTAAAGTTGTCTGACAATATTCCATGCCTCTCATGGAATATGCACAAAAGGTATCCAACAGGTTGTGTTTTTTTTTTTTTTTTTTTTTTGCAGGGAAGGATTTGTCCTGAGCTAACATATGTTCCCATCTTCCACCTTTTTTTCCTCCCTAAAGCCCCAGGGCATGGTTGTATACCCTAGTTGTAAGTCCTTCTAGTTCTTCTACGTGAGCCACAGCCAAGTATGGCAACTGACAGACAGGTGATGTGGTTCCGTGACCGCGAAGTGAACCTGGGTGCTGAAGTTGTGAGAGCGCTGAACTTTAACCACTAGGCCATCAGGGCTGGCTCCAACAGGTTGTATTGAAAAAGCAGGCACATTATCATTAATCTGACCCCAAATCAAGATTAAAAGGCCACCCACCATGCCCGCAGGCAACACTGCAGATGCCGCCTCTGCCACCAATGCTCCAATCAGCCCACACGAGCCATTCTCCCTGAGCCTTGCTCTCATTCCTTGTGCTCTTTAAGCATATGTCTCTCCAACTACATCCAAGTTCAGTTAAAAACAAGGACTGTATATTTCTCCTTACATTTCCCTAAGAAGACAGGATGCCAACTGAATGTCAACATACGCCAGGCATTGTGCTAAATGCTCTCACACATGTGACATGGGGGACAGGTGGCTCAGGGCCCACATGGTGCCCTCAGCCACCCAGCCCTAAGAAACCCTCTCTGAATCCCTGAGGTAAAATAAGGGTCTGAGGAACAATTTGAAAAACACTGCACTGTACCACAATATGTGTCAAATAAACTGCATGTATTAGGTTTCTAAGATTTTTCTCCGTGGTTTAAATTATGTGTCAAATATATTTACCAAATATGCAGTTAAATATGACTGATATTGATCAGTCAGCGTCTCTAAGGTGACCTTAAATTAATTCAATTTGAAAAATGTCGAGAAAATATGAACAGAAAATTAAGGTGAAATGAAACACAGGGTGTGTGGAATTTTATATACACTTGTAACCTATGGTTTCAGAACTACCTTAAGATAACACTGTCTTTCTTCAGTGAAACCTATCACCAACATCATATATTATGGGAAAACAGCAAGTTCAAACAATCTTTTTTAAAAGGTACCTTTTTTTTCTCCCATAACTTCTTTAGGTTCACTAGCTTTTTTTCCATTTTTTCCATTAGGAAAGTATTTTTCAAATCCTGTTAGAAAAGGAAAAAAAAAACATATCCTCAAACCAAAATCCATCAGGTTTTATGTGTAATCTTTTTTTTTTTTGAGAAAGATTAGCCCTGAGCTAACATCTGCTGCCAATCCTCCTCTTTTTGTTGAGGAAGACTGGCCCTGAGCTAACCTCCGTGCCCATCTTCCTCTACTTTATACATGGGATGCCTGTCACGGCATGGCTTGACAAGCGGTGCGTAGGTCCAAACGTGGGATCCGAACCAGCGAACCCCAGGCCGCCGAAGCAGAATGTGCGAACTTAACTACTATGCCAGGGGGCTGGCCGGTGTGTGTTTGTTTTTAAAGCAATTGATACATCATTAAAACACATAAGTTAAAAGTGTAACATTTCTAGTGTAGGAGTAAATCAAAGTCTAAATAATATAGTTCACAACCCAGAGATGTAAAAGAAAAAAGTTCCATTTTCACGCCAATTTCATTACCCATAAAAGTGTTACATGTGAAGAGGACACACTTTCATCATCCCAATCAGACAGAAGGTAGGGAGTGGACAGGAGGAGACACAAATTAAGAGTCAACTTGAAACAACACTTTGAACCTGCCTAGTGAACACTGCTGACAGCACTGCTCTTTAACAAGAATGTAGAACACTGTGGTCACATCTAAGCATTTACCTTTTGGAGGTCGAGAACAGAATCTTTGATAAGCAGCAATTACATCTGTCAAAAGAGAATTTCTGCCGCTTGTTGCTTGAGTTGTAGCATATCGGTAAAGCTGCAACATGACATATAAATAAAAGCATCAAGGTTATATCAAGATAAAGAATTTAAAAGGAAGAGCTTCATTTGCTAATATCATAAAGGGGATGAAACGTTTCTCCTTTCAACAAGTGGTTACAGACTAGCACGGAATGACCCCTACAAGGGAGGACTAGGATTGTCTGGCACTGTGCCACTCCACCCCAGCAACAGAACCAGGAGACACAAATTACCAGCCAGAAGACAAGAGTACTTCAAAATCATACATAAATTAGAATTGCAGCCCAGTTACAATTCTCTGCCGACACAGTCACTTTGGCATTGTTTACTTAATTTGCAGTTTTCAAAAGACAAACTCTGACACAGAAAATCTGCTGCTTCTTGCTGACTCATTTGCAGGATCTACAATACTGCAAGAATATTTACCTGAAATTACACAACAATGCTGCTCGTAAACATAATACGAAGTTTATTTTAGTTCAAAGATAAAGTTATGGTCCAACATCACAATAATCCTTATACTAGTAACATTTGCTAAAGACATTTGCTATACTGTCACCCCAGTGAGAACCCTGGTTATACAAGTCCCATTAGGATATATCTCTGCTTTAAATAACTTATGTTGCTAAAAAGTTGTTTGTAAATACAGTCTAGATAAATTGAGGTATAATGTAAACAAACTGAAGAAGCTCCCTATTAAATTTTTAGCTGCACAATTAGAAGCAACCAACAGCAAGGTGCATTGAAGGGATATATCCAAATTTGGCAGTGAAAAAGTTCAAGTAATCTTATCTTTTTGCAAAGTGAAAATTCACCACCACTTTTTGGGAGGAGAAGCTTTTAAATACAGATGAGAAAGTTCAAAGTGAAGTTCATCTGTATTGGCAGCCATCATAATTTGCCTTTATGTCTGATGAGAAAAACAGAATATCGCAAAACCATATAAAACAATTTCACATCCACTAGCGTGGCTATAATCAAAAGGACAGACAATAACAATGTTGGTGAGAATGTGGAGATTTTGAAGCCCTCATACACTGCTGGTAGGAACAGGAAATGGTGCGGCCACTCTGGAAAACTTTGGCATTCTCAAAATGATATATATAGAATTACTATATGATCCAGGATTCCACTCCTACTCAAGAAAACTGAAAACATACGTCCTCACAGAACCTTGTACATTAATGTTCACGGTAGCATTATTCACAATAGCCAAAAAGTGGAAACAACCCAAATGTCGTTCAACTAACAAACAGATAAAACGTGGTATACTCACACAATGGAATATTATTCAGCCATAAAAAGGAATGAAGTTCTGATAAACGCTACTACACGGATAAATCTTGCAAACACTATGCTAAGTTAAAGAAACCAAACACAAAAAGTCACATATTATATAATTCCATTTATATGAAATGTCCAGAATAGGCAAATCCACAGAGACTAGATTAGAGGTTGCCTAGGGCTGGAGGAATGATTGGGGAGAAATGGGGAGTGATTGTAACAGTTACACGGCTTCTTTTCGGGGTGATGAAACGCTCTGGAATTAGACAGTGGAGATGGCTGCACAACTCTGTGAATATACTACAAACCACTGAATTGTACGCTTTAAAATGATGAATTTTATGGTATGTGAATAAAAAGTGTCAACTAAAAAAACAAATAAAAGAGTTGATTTAACTTCAAATTAATAAATGATTCTATACAGCAAAATAGGACAGAAACATTGACACTGTTCTTGATTGACAGCAATGCTGATCTGAGAAAGCTGGGGCTTCTGTTTTTATGCCTTCCCTGATCCCTGGGAACACATGACCTATGAAATAACCACCGATAATGGATAAAAATGTAACATAAGTGAATAAATAAAGTTTTTCCAATGCCAGATCCATTAAGGGTGTAGATTAAAATGACCTATTATTCAAGCTGGTCACACTGATTTATTGAGCCGCCTACTTCAGGCCAGATGCTGCCCAGCAGTGGAGAGTTCACAGCGGGGTCAGAACCAGTCCCTACCCCCAAGAAACTCAGCAGTGAAAGGAAGAGAGTCTCGGGGACAGATCCATTACAGGATAGTATAATATGTGCAACAATACAAAACCTGTAAGTATAAGGAAGAGGGGTAGCAGAGAAGAGGAAGTGATTACACGTTTAAGGGACCCAGGGATGTCACAAGAAAAATGACATCTAGCCTGGGATTTGAAGGACTTATAGTTCAGTCAGTGTCATAACTTTTAATTTAGTTAAAGCTGGAAATCTGAATTTTTCGCATGACGATCTTCAACCAAGTCTCATGATATTAGGAGCCTCAGTTACACATCTGTAATGGGAGAAAACAACTCTGCCTGTCTAGTTCCCAAGGACACTACTGTGAGGATCAAATGTGACAACATATTAAAAAACACTTTTTGTAAAAGCACTTTTAAAATTGTATGGCAATACCTAGATTTAAATGATCGTTTCCAAATATTTCTGAAAGCTATTTGAGGGCAAGAGTTCTTTATATCACCATATAAAGCAAGTCTTTGTCACCAGAAAGCTTAGTAGAGAAATGGGCACACGGTATGTACTCCATAGAAGTCTGTTTACTAATAAGCCCCCTGTAGGCTCTATTTGAAATTGTGTTGACCTGGAATACCTCTGGCAATAATCTGTGACCACATCTAACACTGAGGTTGTTTCTATAAAAGGATCATCAATGAAACTCTTCTCCTCTGCATATCCAATCCAAGCCCACTAAAGAATATAAAAGATAGCAATTTACAAAATTTAAGTTTAGAGCACCTCATTTTAGAGGATTAGCTTTTATGCTTGACAATATGAGCAGTTTTTAGTTGCTTTATCATCAGACTTATTCCTCTGAGCATAATACCCAAGAACTGACATCTCACATGTCAAAATCTTTTCCCCAGAAATCTCACTGTGAGACTAGTACTTCCGTCTCTCACCTTTAACAGCAGCAGAACCTAAAGGAAAATCCCCTCATCAGACTCCCTTGCAAGTAGCACAGTAATGCCCCAGTGTCCCCATCCAGAGCTTCAGAGCACTGCCAGGGAATATGTCATGGACCCCCAATCAACCAGCTGTTGCAGTCAGTGCAGGGGACTTCCTTATACGTCAGCAGCAATGAATCACAGGGACAACAGTGCCACTTGAAAGACAGGCCTTTTACATGGGATTCCTGACATAAAAACTGCAAACTCACAAGGCAGATCGCCACTTGCTCATTATATGTCTGAGCCCAACATTCACGAAGGGCAAAAAGAGAGGTATGAGAGCAAGAGGCAACAGGAAAATGGACGCAACGCAAGCAACTGAAAAAAGGCCTAGTGCAGGGCAGTATGGAGTGGGAAAGAGATGAAGATAATCCAAGACTGCAAGGGAGCTTCAAAGAGTAAAAACCATAAAAGCAGGTACTAGTAACACACCCTTCCAAGTGGAGAGGCTGAGAGAGTTTCCTCAAGGGCATTTGGTCAGTAAGGGGCAGGTTCCCGTGAGACTCCAGGGCCCGAACCACCTCCCTCTTTTGCCTCTACCTGTGCACCTCCAGGTACACCAGTGCAAGGCTGGACTTTAAAGAACTGACAGCCAGCAAGAAACTGTGTCCCAGAAATAGCTGACATCGACTACTCACCACACGAACCTTTCCTTGAGACAGATTACTGCCATGGCTCTGTCAGCACAGTGTCACCACTTCAGAAAAACGTATTAGCATCGCCACCCGTGGGAGCACTGGATGCGCTGGTTACCAACAACAACAAGCACAGTCTCCACTATGACATTATTAATAATCACAGCTAACATTTCTTGGTATCTACTACATGCCAGAGCCAGAACGCCAGCAACGGCCCCATTCGGATAGCCCTATGGAAAAATGGAGCCTCAGAGAGGTTAAGGAACTTAACTCCAAAACCTCCGCTTTCATAACACCACGCTCCTGCTGCCGACCCTTAAAGCACCTACACAACACACGCACTCTACTTCCCAACGTCACGAAAGCAGGGGAAACGAAGGCAACCAAGGCCAGAAATACGACAGTTCCCTAACCTTCTGGGCTCTCAGCTGCCTTATCTGTAACACGGGCTCGCCCTGAATGAAGTGAGACGACCCTCCCAGAGGCTCACTTAGGGTTCCCTGACGCGCAAAGACCTGACTCTGCTGGAGAGGCATGTTCTCAAAGTTCCAATTCGACGCCCAGGGCTGCCACGCACAGCGTGCTTACGGGAGCACGGGGTGCACGACCAGAAACGCAGGCCTCCTGGCACTGATGGCAGCGCACGCAGCCTCATCACGCGAGGAACCCGCCCAGGGGCCGGTGACCTTGACGCCTACTCTCCCGGGCCGGAAGCGGGCCCGAGGGCCGGGCCGGGGGCGGAGGGCGCAGGGCCCCGGACTCACCGTCTGGAGACAGGACCGCTCGGCGGGGCCCACGCCGCCGCCAGGCACGAGCAGCCGGGGCAGGCCGCGGGGCCGGCAGCCGCCCCGGCCCCACAGCAGCAGGCAGCGGTGCGCCATGGCCGCCGGCGCGGCCCACTCGGGCCGGGGACGCTGCGCAGGCGCGGCTCGGCGGCCGGCGGGCGGACTGGAGCGCGGCCGGCGATGGGCGGCCTCCGGCAGCGGAGGCGGCTCGGAGCAGAGAGGCCGGGAGAGAGCTCTCCAAGGCCGGGGCTCAGGGGCGAGCCCACGCTCTCGACGCTCGCGCCTTCGGCGACCCCGCCCCTCCCCGGCGTGCTGACGTCAGCCGTAGAGTGGGCCTCCAGGCCCACGGGCGGCGCTCCGGCCGAGCAGCATCTGGGTTCAGCCTGGGCTGGAGGCGGGGCCGAAGGGAGGAGCGTGGAGGGCGGGCGGCAGGGTCAGGGGCGGGTCGGCGGCAGGGCGGGGGGGAGGGGCGCGGGCAGGAGGGCAGGAGCAGCCCGGAGCTGCTGGGAGGGAGTGGCCCGGGCTGCTGGGCCCGCAGGCAAAGGGACCCTTCCCCGTCCCGTCGCGAAGCCATCTTCATTTTTGGTGTTACTCTCTCAGTGAGTCACTGGTGAAATAGTTTGCTGAGCGTCTAATCAGTGTCCGGCATCGTTCTAGGCTGTGGAATGCCGAAACACACATCCCTAACCCTAGGAGAGAATGCAAAGAATCACAAACCAGTGGGTGAGCTAAATGCAACAGTAAAAGTGTTGGGACTGTGACATCTAGCTTGAGCCCATCAGGAACAGTTTCAAAGAGAAATGATTCTCAGAGAATAAGGCGAGCTCTCCAGGCGGCGGAAACTGCGCATTGTTTCGTGCGCTGTGACTGTGGAGTAGAGGTTGGACTTTGTAGCCAAGTTTAGATCTCGGCTCTGTCTTCTGTTAGGTCTTCCAGTAGTATGCATGACATAAATGTGTGGATGGGGAGGAAAAGGACAGGCACGAGATGAGGCATCAGAAATTTATGCGTATATGTACATATACACATTGGAAAAAACTGGAAGAACAGTTATTGAAATGTTAATGAAATTTCTCACCTGTCAGAATGGCAAAAATCCAAAATTTTGACAACTCACTTTGCCTGCCAGGCATTCTCAGAAGTAACTAGTGGGCACACAGAATGGTGCATGCTCATGGAAGGAAATGTGGTGATGCCTGCCTAAACGTCCAATGCATGCGCTCTTTAAGCCAGATATCCCGTTTATGGAAATGGACCCTAATGACATACCTGCATACATGTAAAATGCTGTGAGTACAAGGTTCATAATTACAGCATTGTTTGTAGTAATAATCATTAGAAATAACCCAAATCTCCATCTATAGGGGACTAATTAAAACTGGTAAATACACACTATGTAATCCTATGCAGCATTTTTTTTTTTAAATAATAGAAACTTCTGCTCCCAGACAAGAGGAAGTAACGGCCTGAAACAACTGGGAAGAAAAAGACAAAATATGTGACATATGATTCTTAAGACATTGAACACGGGGCAATGAAAGACAGTAATCCCTGAGAGACAGGAGACAAGATGAGCCCTATGGTCTCCTTGAGTGGAAGAGATGGATCCAGGAATCTGAGTTAGACCCATAATGAGAAAAAAAAATCCAATGATCCAAAGTGACCCAGAAATGACATAAGTGATAGAAGTAGTAGACAAGGACACTTAAAAGAGTTACTATAACTATTTTCTGTATGAGCAAGAAACGAGTAAAAGATTGAACATATTAAGTAAACACTTGGAATACAAAAATATAAAAAGTAAATTGAACATCCAGAGATGAAAAAGACACTCAATAGGATTAATGGCAGATTACATTGCAGAAGAAAAGATTAGTGAACTTAAAGACACAACAGTAGAAACTACCCAATATAAAACAGAGGGGAAAAAAGATTCAACAACAAAAATTAACAGAGAATTAGTGAGTTGTGGAATTTCTGACCTAATATATGTGTGATTGGAATTCCCAAAGAAAAAGATAGAGAAGGAGGCACAGAAAAAGTATCTGAAGAAATAATGGATTGAAATTTTCCAAATTTGATGAAAACTATAAACCCACAGATCTAAGAATTTCAATGAACCACAAGCTCAAGAGACACGGAGAAAGCTACAGCAAGGCACAGCATAACCAAGTTGCTTAATACCAGTGATTTTAAAAATCTTAAAAGCAGCCAGAGAAGGAAAACACAGGTACAGAAGAACAAAGCTAGGTATGATAGCTTGTGGGAAACAATAAAAGCCAGAAGACAGTAGAACAACATCTTTGAAGTATTTTTTAAACTTGTCAACTGAGAGTTCTTTATCCAGGAAAAATATCTTTAGGAAACAAAGGCAAAATAAGGACTTTTGCAGACATGCCATAACTGAAGGAATTCATCACAAGAAGACCAACTACAAAAAAAAAAAAAAAAAAATATAAGAAGTCCTTTGAGGAGAAGGAAAGGTGATCGCAGAGGGAAATCTAGAACTACACAAGGAGTGGAGAGCGCTGGGAAGGGTAACTCCGTAGGTCGGTCAAAAGGTTTTCTTTTCTTATTATTTCAGTCTTTTACAAAGATATTCTACTGTTAAAGCAAAAATAATAACAATGTATTCTGGGTTGTATAACATACACGAAGTAAAATGTATGACAACAAAAGCAGAAAGGCAAGGAAGTGAAAAATGGGCGTATAGTGTTGTATGATAAAGCGGTGCATTCATCAAGAGAATATAACAATCCTAAACATCTTTGCACCTGTTAAGAGAGCCTTAGAATGCATGGGGCAAAGATTGACAGAACTGCAACTTCCAATTATATTTGGAGGTTTCAAATCCTTCTTTCAATAATTGACAGAACAATTAGACAGAAAATCAGTAAGTATATGGAAACTTTGAACAACATGATCAACCAACATAGCCTATTTGAAATTTATAGAAAACAACCCCAACAACAGCAGAATACATATTATTTTTAAGAGCGCATGGTGCATTTATCAAGTAATTCATATTCTGGGTAATAAAAAAGAGCTGAAATCAATCAAGTCATACAAAGTATGTTTTCTGACCACAATGGAATTAAGTTGGAAATCAATATCAGAAAAAATACTTGGAAGCTTAATAACAAATTTTTAAATAACCCATGGGTCAAAGAAGAAAACAAAAGGGAAGTTATAAAGTATTTTAAACTGAATGAAAATTAAAGTGCATCGAAACCTGTGGGGTAAAGTTAGAGCAGTAGTTAGGTTGGTTTTCATTGCACTAAATGCTTGTTTTAGAAAAGAAAAAAATTCTCACATCAATGACCTCAGCTTCTAGCTTAAGAAACTAGACAAACAACAGGAAATGAGACCCAAGAATAAGAAAGAAAGGACAAGATCAGAGTGAAAATTAGTGAATTGAAAACTGAAAAGAGAGAAATAAAATGAAAGAAACTGAAAGCTATTTCTTTGAGTGGATCAATAGCCAGACTGATCAGGAGAAAAAGAAAGACACAAATTGCCAATATCAAGAATGACAAAGCTGACATCACTTCAGACTCTACACATGTTAAAATGATAATAACGGAATATTATGGACAACTTTAGACCAATAAATTTGACAACTTAGATGAACTGGACAAATTCCTTGAAAGATACAAGTTACCAAAGCTTGCTTTTCAGATAACCTAAAAAGTCATATGATTATTTTGAAAACTGAATTTGTGGTTAAAAACCTTGCCAGAAAGAACACTCTAGGCTTAGATGACTTGACTGGGGAACTCTACCAAACATTTAAGGAAGAAATAATACCAATTTTACAGAAAATTGAAGTGAGGAAATACTTCTCAATTCTTTCTATGAAGCCAACATTATCCTGTTATCAAAACTGAAGATATTACTAAAAGGAAAAGAAAACTACAGACTAATATCCCTAATGAACATAGGTGCAAAAATTCCTGAACAAATGTTAACAAATTAAGTCCAACAATATAGAAAGAGCATAATACATTATGACCAAGTAGGGTTTATCCTAGGAATGAAAGGTTGTTTTAATATTCAAAAGTCATCAGTGTAATTCACCATAGTAATAGACTAAAATATAAAAACCATGTGATCATCTGAATAGATGCAGAACAAAAACATTTGACAAAATCCAACATCCATTCCTGATTAAAAAAACAAAACGAAAATAGCCTCTTGGCATACTCAGAATAGAAGGAAACTTTCTCAAACTGATTAAAAAAAATCTATGGGGGCTGGCCCCATGGCCGAGTGGTTAAGTTCGCGGGCTCCCCTGCAGGCGGCCCCGTGTTTCGTTGGTTCGAATCCTGGGTGCGGACATGGTACTGCTCATCAAACCACGCTGAGGCAGCGTCCCACATGCCACAACTAGAAGGACCCACAACAAAGAATATACAACTATGTACCGGGGGGCTTTGGGGAGAAAAAGGAAAAAAAAAAATCTTAAAAAAAAAAATCTATGAAAAACTTATAGCTATCATCATAATTAATAGTGAAAGACTGAATGTTTTCCCCCTAAGATTAGCAGCAAAGAAAGGATGTCCACTCCTACTGCTTCTATTCAACATTGTACTGGAGGTTCTAGCCACTGCACTGAGGCAAGAAAAGAAAATAAGGCAGATTCCTTTCCATTAAAGCAGATTGGAACAGAAGGCATAAAATTGTCTTTATACATGGCCCACATAATCATCGATGTAGAAAATCTGATGGAATCTCCACAAAAGCTACGAGAAAAATTGAGTTTAGCAAGGTTGCAGGATACATTATCAATATGCAAAAATCAGTTGTACTTTTTAATGCTATCAACAAACAATTGAAATTTAAAAACAATTACATTCACAGTATCATAAAAAAAATATGAAATGGGGATAAATCTGACAAGATATGTGAAAGACCTTACTGTGGACTGAATTGTGTTCCCCCAATGTTCATATTTGAAGCCATAACTTCCAGTGTGACTGTATTTGGAGATAGGAACTCAGAACTCAGGCCAGAAAAGCTGTGGACATTGCTAGGAAACACTGCAAGGCAAACTAAGAATCCACAGAAGCTATGGCAGAAGATTACACTCAAGACATAATAAACTACCTAAGACTACCTAAAGACTACCAAGAGCCTGACTACCTAAAGCCTGAAGGAAATGCTAGAGGAGAGTTTGTTTTGGAAATTAGGACATGGAGAAGCACCTATATACACAGGGGAATTTAGAAAGCCATGCAAGTTCCCAGGGCAAGATGCATGCTCAGAAAGATCTGAGAAGAGCCTAAGCTTTTACCTCAAGGTGATCCCTAGGT